AAAAGAGAGGAGAGAAGAAAGACAGAAGTGGAATGGAATGGGGTGGGAGTGGAGAGGTGAGGAGGAGAGGAAAGGAGGGGAGAGGAGAGGAGGGGAAGATGGAGCTAGCAAGACTCATCAAGGCTTCAGGACAGGTCTCAGAATCACTGCTCTTTCCCCCTATGTGTCCATCTCCCAACCTTATCTGGGTACACCTATCTCCTTTGTCCTCTTTCTTAATAACCTGTGGTAGGCCCCCATTAACCATTTTACAGATGAGGAAACTGAGGCAGACAAGTGGGGCTCCATCTTGCCCAGGAGCCATGCTTCCATCCATCACCGTCTGACACCCTTCATTGTCTTCCCTCTTCTTGCCCCCCTCCATCCACTCTGAATGAGGTCATGCCAGTCGATGCATCTCTACGTTGTCAGGGGACCAGCAGTGCCAGGCAAGTAGAGCTCTCAGTCTAGGCCCCTCAATAAAAGTCAGTTTGAAACAATGCCCCAGCAAAAGTCTAAGCAGAGCAAAGCTTCCTTCCCCATTGTACAAGGCAGGGGTCGAAGATGCTCCTGCTCAAAAGACAGAAAAGGCGAATGAGGATGTCACCCGTTTGTTATCTATACTGTCATTCTGTCACATGACCCTCCCTATGGGATTATTTCCAGGAACAGAAAGCTAGCCTCCTCCTGAAGCCCAGCCAGGAACAATCCCATCTCAAGGCCCTCTAGACATGGGAAACTGAACCCTTAAAGAAAGAAAGACAACACAAGAGCACACATTCACCCAGAACAGCCAAATCTGCAGTTGCAAAAAGCAGACTGAGGGATAAAAGAAAATGGGAACTGATACATGGGGATCTCTCTGAGGTATGTGATGGCCCGCCCACCTGACACACTCCAGAATGTCCTGAGAAGGAAGTCTCAGATGCAGAATTGTCTAGATTGTCTGTGGGCATGCCTGTGAGGGATTTAAGTTAACTGAATTTGGAAGACTCGGTCTGAATGGGAACAGCACTATTTCATATGCTGGACCATGGACTGAATGAGAGAGAGAGAGAGAGAGAGAGAGAGAGAGAGAGAGAGAGAGAGAGAGAGAGAGAGAGAGAGAGAGTTCAGAACCGGCTTGCATGTATTAATCCGTTGTTAGCTGCTTTTGAATGTGGATGTGAAGTGTGACCAGTTCTTTGAAGGCCATGATGTGGTTTCCCTATCATGGGGGACTGTAATCTCTGACTGTGTGATTCTGAGCTAAGTAAACGCTATCTCAAATTGCTTTGTTGGGGTCAAAGCAACAAGAGCTCTCCAGCTATGGAACTGGAAGCACTCGTCCACAGTGAAGTCAGCAGTTAATGAAAAAGAGGCACTGAATTTGAAAGAGAGCAAGGAGGAGTCTATGGGTGGGTTTGGAGGAAGGAAAGGGAAAGGAGACGTGGGGTAATTCTGTTATAAACTCAAAAAATAAAAGAAATCATTATCAGCTTTGTTTGTTTCAAATGGGAGATCCGAGGGACAATCTCAGGCAGTAATATGGGCTCATCACCACAATGACAAGGACGGAAGCCCAAGCAAGGAAGAGTGTCTGGAGGAGCTCTGCCTGCAGAAAAGCAGGACTGAGGATTAAGATGAACCTCCACCCTGTGATGCCAAGTGCAGTTTGGGGTATGGTCTCAAGCTTGCTGCACCTGCCCTGAAGTCAACAGATGACAGCCAGGACAGACAGCAAGGACAGCCATCCTCCAGTCCAACTGCCTCTTCTCTTCTCCTTCTGCCCCCTCCCTGACTCTTCCCCTCCAGGCCTTTTCTCTTCTTCCCGTCTGTTCATGGCCTGGTCACACACACACACACACACACACACACACACACACACACACGCACGCACGCACGCACGCACGCACGCGCACACGCGCACACACACACACACACACACCATCGTGTCACTGTGGACAGCCTCCTTCCAAGCAGGAACCATTGTGTTTTCTGTCTTCATCTCTGCAGCTTGTCCTATGACCACGCCTGGACCAGCCTTTCACTGGCAGCTCCCATCTGTCCCCTCTCCTCTCTTGTCTGTTAGGAACACTGATCTCAATCCCCATGCAGACCATTTCCAGGGATGGCCTGTGGTGGCATATTTGACAGAGGTCTGGAAAAAAAGTCTAGATGTGCCTTGTTTAAAACAAACACTGTGAAAATTTGAATTGTAGAATAAATTCAGGGTGGTCCCCCATTCACAAAACAGCTGTGACCGGCTGTAATAAGTTAGGCATTCTAAACATACTCCAGAAGTACAACAGTAGCCATCACTGCTTCCAGAATTTGTGTTCAAAGCATCTCTGGTCTTGAGACAGGCAAAAAAGCAAGGGGGGGGGAGGGAAGCACGGCTTCATCACATTTGGAGCAAGCTAGCAACGAAGAAAAGCCAGAAGTGGTAATTAATTGGTAAAAAGTTTGTTCATGCTCACTGACTGCTTGGGAAGCAGGCACAGGCTCCTAGGCTACAGAAATCCCTTCTAGAGGAACTCCTCCCTCAGTCAGCAAATGTTATTACCAATTATTTAAGTGGGTTAGTATTTTTTTATTGCTAAGAAAGTATTCCCTTCCTCACCGGAAGGAAATGGAATATTTCCTGCTCTAAGAGGCAACTTGAAGACCAAACCAAGCCCCACAACTTCCGATAAAAAACAAAACAAAACAAACAAACAAACAAACAAAAAACCCAGTGCCTGAAGTTCCAGGGGTGGAGCTTGGGGGAGCTCCATCCCAAAGCATCAGCCTCAGGACACACCAGCCCCCCACCCATCCCCACCACCCTGCCACCCTCCTTGCCCCCACCCTCCACAACCACCACCCCTGTAGAGACAGGGCCGAGATTCTGCCACAAACCCGTCTTTCCAGCTAAGAGTCCAAAGGAAACGTACAGGTGCTTCCTCTTGGCACCTTGGTATGGTAACTGTCCTTTTGCTCCCCAGTGAATCCAACAGTTCACAGAGATGGCCAGCTCATGGCGAGCTACTTTCTCTCAACATCTTCCTGCCCCTCCCCATGAGGTACCTGTGAGTCTTACTACGTGAGAGCTAGGGCTCAGAAAGCTGAAGGAGACAGAAGTGGGGAGTACAAGCCCTGTCTTCCAGGGCCAACAGCATTTGCACAGTACATTGCCTCATGGGAATGGCTACATCACTGCGGGACAACTTCCAGAGGGTCCACACACCCTACTGTGTGCTGTTCTCCTGGGTGTTACCTGGGATCCCACAGAACCCATGCTGATTCCCCCTTTCTCTATGGTACCAGACTCCCTCACAGGATCCCACACTGGCCTTTATGGTCCCCTAGGCCAGCCACTCAGCATTCCTTGGAGTCCTGGCCTCCCCTGGACTCTCTGAGCATATGGACATCATGAGCCCTCTGTTGTCCAATTTAGCTCCCCCTTTTCTCCTCCTCCCACCCTCTCCCCCTCCCCTCCCCCTGGGTACCATTTCCTGAGGGTCTGCACAGCTTCCTGTGTACCTGCCTAATCTACTTCCCCTCTACATGGTGTCTGAAAGAAACCGAGCTTGTCCACAAGGGAACCTTGGTCTGGGCTCTTGCCCTGCTGCTCCCTCTGGCTTCCCAACCTTAGGAAATAGGAGGACCAGTCAGAAAGGAAAGGAGGGAAGAATGGAGGGAGGGGTAAAGACAGTGAAGGAAAGAGGGGGGAACAAGAGGAAAGAGAAACTAGAGGAAGGAAGCTAGAAAGGAGAAAAAAGACGTTGAAGGAAGAGGGACAGGAAGTGAGGGAAGAGAAGAGGTGGGTGTGGGAGAGGCAGAAGAAGAGAAGAAGGAAAAAGAATGGAGACGAGAGGAGGTGAGGAAAGGATGCCTCTGGAGAGAAGAGGGACAGTGTCAACATCCTGGGGTGAGAGCACCAGTCTTGTCTGTGTGACATTGACACCCCTGCCATAGTAATTCACTAACCTCTTAACTCCCTAAAATCTCCATCTTCGAGAATTTAGGCAGTTTGTGATAGTGTACAGTTTTACTGAAGGCAAGATAAACTGATCGCTGAAAGTCTCTAATCAAAGGTGATCCCCATGGACTCCATGAAAGGGGCCTGAGATCACACCTTGGACGCGTCCACCTTCCCCCCACCCCCACCCCTCCCCCTCCACACACACAAGCACACACACAAACACACACACACACACACACACACACACACACACACACACACACACAGAGCCTCGTCTGATCCCATCCAGCCTGAGATTCCTCCTCAGCAGAGACTGAGTCTAGGGCTGGGCTCGGAGGGAACCAAGGCATTTGCCAGAGAAGGTCAAGTGTGCAAAAACTGGGAAGTGACTCTAAGGCAAATTACAGTCTAAGATGAGAAAGCAGCGGGAGGAGGCCACCTTTGCCCTGGATCTGGTCTCCTCCCTTTGCCCTGGATCCCAGCCCTCTCCCTTTGCCCTGCATGGCCCTGGTCCCCTTTGACTAGGTCAGGGTGTCCCTGGGGACCAGGCCCTCAGGACTCCCCTCATCCTCCAAGCCAGGTCTATGTGACTCTAGGACCAAGGATCACAGGCTCCCCTCAATACGGTGGAGAGGCAGCTGGACGAGAAGTGTCTGGACCACAGCAAGGATGGAGGTGTGGGCACAAACACCGAATGGGATCGTAGGGTACACAGTAGACTCAGGAAGGCCTTAGCCCAGGCAAGGAAAGCAGGACGGAGGTGAGGATGGAATAACATTCCAAGAAACAAAACATGCCAAGACCTTGGGGCTTTCAATACTGACTGGAACTAAGAATCTTCCACAGCCTGGGGTCCAGGATGAGAGCTCCAAAGAAAAGAGGCCATCAGAAGCCAGATCTTGGAAGCCTTGAGTGCCAAGAAGGGGAGGGTAGTCGCCACACTTTAAGTAAAGAGAGCTTCCAGCAGAGCGTAAAGGTAGAGAAGGGAAACCCAAGGGGAGGGCAGGAGAGATGAGGCAAACAGCTGAAGTTCGATCTCAAGGAGAGGCGTGGAGGGCAGCCCGGCTACACTCACCACGGAGCCAGCGCGCACCCGCATGCGTGTCCTTGGGGCGGATGAGGCGGCGCTGCATGTAGCTGCGGCCCACGTACCACAGCATCCAGAGCAGCTGCAGCAGCATGAGTGCCGTCAGCACGCACAGCAGGTAGCTCTTGTCTACACCCGCCGCGTGCACCGCCCAGGCCAGCAGGAACAGCAGCCCTGCCACGAACACGTTCAGCCCATACTGGCTGCTCAGAGTCTCCGCCAGCTTCTGCGGGACGCTGGCGCTGCGACGGGGACTGGAGGCCGGTGGAGATCCCCCGGCCAGGAGGTGCGGGGGCGGCGGGCATGCAGAGATCCCCGACGGCGCTGCAGAGAAGGAACCTGGTGGAGCTGCGGGAGAGGAGGGCTCGCCCAGGCCCCCAGGCATCTTCCTGTCTGGTCCCCAGGCGGCTGCTCCAGCCCTGCCTGTTGCTCCTGGCTCCTGTCCTTTCCCCACGCCCTCTGGGCACTAGCCCCGCTCACCCGTGCCCTCCGATCCTGCCCTCCCCCAGTGCTCCCGGCCCTTGATCAGGTCCCAGTAGCCGGCCTCCCTCCCGGAGCTTCTGTTGCACTCCGGTCCCCTGCAGCCCGTTGCCCCTGCCGCTGCGCCTCGAGCCCCGCTCCTCCTCTGCCCTACCTGTGTCACCCGCGCCCAGCCCGTCTACCCCACCCCGGAGCCCCGGAAACGCGGGACCGCAACAGGTGCCGCCCGCAGGCTCCGGGACTGGTGGGGAGGGGTGGGATGCTAAGGGACATAAGGAGTCGCAGGAGTCAGATCGGGGAGTTGCTGAGGGCGTGGCTGCGTCGAGGATTGTGTCCCCGACCCTCAGAATTCTAGGTGTACCCGCAGGGCCCGAGAGTACATGGGTCCGTCTTATCTGTGTGTCCCTGCCTCTGTCTACTGAGTGTTTTTGTTGTCTCTGCCCTCGATCTACAAGTGTGTCTGATTCCGGGTGGGAAGCAGGGAAGGGGCGTCTTTGGATGGGGGGGTCTCTCCGTTTGTCACTTTTGGGTGTCTGCATGGTGGCCTGACCAAGAGCCTCGACGCTGGTTGAGACTCAAGCCAGTATCCAAGGAGAGGCCATCCTTCCCTGTCCTCCCCCCCCCCCCAGCTGCTTTGCTTCCAGGGGGAACTGAGCCGGGAAAAGGGTCCCCAGTGGTCCCGTAGAGTCCAGTTGCTTCAATTCCAAAGCCTTCCACAGCCGCTGTCCCCGAGGCTCTCCACTCTGGTGCCAAGAGGAAGCTCAGCTGATGTCTGCGAAAGGGCGTCCTAAGGTTGGCCCTGACCTGGAGTGCCTGCAAAGTGGTCCGAGGAGGGCAACCGGGAGCAATCGGGACATCGGGCTCTGAGTGCAGCGCGCGATGGGCGGGGGGGGCGCGCAGGGCACAGGCGTAGACACCCGCTCCATTAAAAGCTCTAGTGTAGCTGATTTCAATTTCTTCATATTTTAACAAGGAAGCCCACTGGGTTTTTGTTTTGTTTTGTTTTTTGTTGTTTTTTGTTTTTCACGGAACCCTGCGCACGGACACTGCAAATGACTGCGAAGGTGGTTGGGGGTGGGGGTGGATAAGGCGGGGCAGGAAACTTTGGGCCCACTGAACCATGGGTCTTGCCTCACCTTCATTCTTAAATTCCTTCATTGGCTCATTCATTCATTCAATTTATATATAGATAGCCCACACGGAGACATTTTCTGCACTCTGCTTAGTCCTGAGGACTCATCAGGGCTAGGGCAGTCCTGGGCGCCAATGTTCAGGTGAGAGGCTACAGCAAGCACCGTTTCCTAGGTTCACTGGGAGCTAACCAGCAACGCTAAGTCTGCCCTTCCCTTCCGAGAGACACAGGTTCCCAAGGACAGGCCCCTGCTAAGAAGGCTGAGAGGCTCCCAGGAGGTGGCAGCATCTGCAAGAGCTCCACAGCTGGAATAGCTTCTCCTAGTGGAAGGCAGGAGGCAGGTGGGGAGGCGCTGCCAATGTGTGCAAAGAATGACTGAAATGACCCTAATCCAATGCCTCAGCAGGTAAAGGCACTTGCCACCAAGCCTGACCCCACATGGTAGGAGAGGACAGAGTCCTACAGGCTGTCCTCTGACCTCCACAGGTCCACAGTGATATGCATGCACATTCAATAAATAAATAAATAAATGTAATTTTAAAAGCCCACAAATTTATTCCTAGCCGCAAACCCATGCCACCCCACAAATCTCAAAGACCCTTTGAATGCTAAGGGACTGAGTCTCTGAAGATATGCCACAAATGCATCATGCATGTCTTTTCCAGCGTCATGCCATGGTGGCTGGTTACTGGCAAGGTCAAAATAAGGTACTTTTCCTTCTGTATTAATATTCAGTGTATCTAAGAGTTCCCATGGCTATTGTGGAGAATGCTTGCTCACAATCCATGCAGCTCTGTGGTTAATCCCTGTTCACCTTCCAGGCAGTTTCCTGATCCTTCCACGAACAGTGATAGTATAGGAGTCAAAGTAGGAAATCCACACCGACACAATACTACCAACTGCATAAGAAACTTCACTCACACATGGATACTTTTTCTGTCCTTTTGTTTTCTAGAGAAACCTTTCAGTAAACACTAAAAGAGGCTCTGAGCTAATACCATGGTCACGTGGGTGTTGGCGGGCACACATGGATGTGCATATGTGTGGAGGCCAGAAGACAAACGACCTTGAGTGTCACTCCTCCAGCACTGTTCCTGTTCCCCACCTCACCCCAACTTATCACATAGGCTAGGATGAGCAGCCACTGAGCCCCAGGGATCCACTCACCACTCCCTCCTCAGTGCTGGATTACAAGTAAGTGCCGCCATGCTGACTTTTTTTTTAAATGTAGGTTCTGGGGATTGAGTTTAGGTCTTCCTACTTACAAGACAACTATCTTATTGAGTAAGCTAAAGCTCCCAGTGCTCCCATGGCCATGACTCCTTCATCAGTGTGTTCGAGATCTCATGACAATGACACACCCATAACTACACAGATGGACATGTAATCAACAACCTGAGGTCCTATGTGTCCAGTTCAATGGGGGAAATTTTCCCTCCCTCCATGGTAAGAGGACTCAACACAGCCCCACCTCTCCAGGCAGATCCTCAGAATAAGGTACCCATCTTACCGCTGGGCTCACTGGAGCCTTCTGTTAGTATGCTAAACTACTCAACCCAGTGGGTGACTGTTGGTGAGAGTTCTGAGATGCAGGTCTTTTACACAGTATCCATTCAGAGATCACCTTCAGTCCTCTTCCCACACGTCTTGGTCTTCAGATAGTTATTGATCATTCACTGCGCCTTCTGGGACCCACCCATGGCACTGTGCAGGTTTCTGCTCTTCACAGCTCTTTATTCAGACAAGACAGAGCACCAAACATACCAGTGGGCCTCCAGTCTGCCATAGGAAGGGGTTTTCTTTCTTTACTGTCCACCAGGTTGGTGCTAGGTGGGACTGCAAGGCTGTAGTTGTCCGCTACTGTAGTTGAAGGTTGGTGCCATCTTGTCATGCAGAAGTATCTATAAACATGGTCTGAGCTGCTTCTCCTACCACGAGACAGTCTCATGTTACCGTGGATGCAGATTAAAGAATCAAGGCCACGAGCAGGTGTCAGTCTGGGAGGGACGTGGACCACTTGCAGGTCACCTTGTTCAATGCCTTACAAGCCACATGGGCTTGACAACACACACACCACCGTGTATTCCCAACCTCAGCTGGATAGATCAGTTAATACTCAGCTCAAAATAGTCCTATGGTCACTTAATTCTGAGAAACCAGAAAGAAGTTGTCTAATGGAAAATAACTAATGCGTAGAAGGCCAGTTTTTTTTTTTTTACTCTACACCCCTTTAGATCTGCACCGTGATTTCCCTGTTGGTTCCTGCCAGATCATATCTAGTACCATTTGCTAAAGCCACCCCCAAGTGTCCTTGGCTTTGCTGGACTGTAAGATCCAAGTCAAAGGAACTAGAAATACAGACCGGTGGACTCCAGAGTCACCATCTCTCAAAACTGGGATGCAGACTTATAGGCTCGACCTGCAAGTCAGCTGGTCATACATGCATTTAAGGGTGGTAAAAGCCACACCCCTTCCCTTTGATTCTGGGAAATCCAAGCTGCCCCATGGAGAGGTCAACAAAGAATGAAGCCCATAGCCAGCACTTACTGCCAACCTCAGTGAAGCATCTTGGAAGGGGCTTGCCCAGTCTCAATTGAGTTTTGCCCCTGCGAGGCAGAAACAAGGTGTCCCTGCCAACCCCTGCTCAGATTTCAGATTCCTGAGCAGAATAAATGGTGGCCGTTGTTTCAGGCCACGTACATTTGGGTGTGGTTTGTTATGCAGCAATAGGTACCCGGAACATACAGACTCTAGTGGGCCTGAGTCCAAAGATCAGAGAAGACCTGGGAGGCTTCTCTGGTGACCCCAGTGACAGGGACACAGGGCTGTGTAAGGAAAATTCTGATGGTCACAAGAGAGATGGTATAAGTGTTGGGGGTGAGGGATGCTGGGGATGTTTGGCTCACAGTATGCTGGACTCAAGTCTGGTCACTCCTGTCAGGGTATGGGCTGGGAAAGACAGAGCCTTTCATATACTTGTGACTCCTATCACACACACGCGATGGAATTCATTCCTTGCACTTCATGTGCTGTAATGAGATTTCTTTTTATTCTGAAGGTTCAGTGGCTGTAGCTCAGGGTTTTATACATGCTGGACAAGCACTCCATCACTAAGCTGTCTTCAGACCTTCTTAAGATCTTGAGACAGGATCTCTTATTTAGCCTAGACTGGCCTCAAACTCAAACCCTACCTACCTCAGCCTCTCAAGTGGCGGAGATCATAGGCATTTTTCACCACACCATAATGTCATTTCTTTTCAAAAGAGGCACAGAGAGATAGAAAATGGATAGAAAATTCTTTGGTGGTTTTGCTGACTAGGGTGATCACAGAAATGGGCCTCAATGGAGAACTGTGAGGAGGTCTAATGTGATGTTTGCGTGTAGGTGGGAAACAGTAGACCATATTTGCATGCTGACAGGAATGGCTCAGTCCACCGCAGGAGGATCACACTCAAAGCAAGGTATGAAAGCATTTGTAAACTTGCCATGGTGGCAAAGGTCTGTGATCTTATCACTGAAAAGACTGAAGTAGGAAGTTCACACGTAACAAGCTCAAGGCTGGCCTGGGCTATACAAGTCTCAAAACTACTGAATAAGGGAAGAAAAAAAAAGCCCTACAGCTATCATTAAGGCTCAGACTATTTAGAAATGAATCATCACACACCAAGGGTATAGGGAGGATGTTCCTCAGTTACAGAACCTGCAAGCCTTCCATAAATTCGTGTTCCTTTCTGGAATGGTCTATACTATTCTTGGACTCCCCTGTCTTTTCAACCTTCTCCAACCAGGGTCGACTGAGCTGCTCTAGTCTAACACTTCCCTTATGTGCCCAAAACAACACAGACTGCAACTCAGTTTTAAAGCATCTGGAGACAGCTGACTAGAACCCATTAACTCTTTCCACTTCAAGGAATGCTGAGTTTAGTCTCCAAGAAATTGTAATAATAATGGGCAGGCAATGCAGCTCAGTGCCAAG